CATATGAAGCAGATGCTTTATTCTCATCACATGGTAGAAAGGAGTTCTTTGGAGGACCATCTAACCGAGTTCAAGGAAATTGTCGCTGATCTGGAAACATTAGAAGTCATGTATGATAAAGAGGATTTGTCCTTGATCCTGTTGTGCTCACTTCCTGCTTCGTATTCGTCCTTCAGGGATACGATCTTGTACAGTCGTGACACACTCACCATTGACGATGCTTTTGATGCTTTATTTTCAAAGGAGAAGATGAAGCATATTGTTGGGGCTAAGGATGAAGAAGCTCTGGTTTCTTACGGTGATCGACGGAGGGGTATGTCAAGGGTGAACTTCAGCAATCAGGTTTGCTTCTACTGCAGGAGAAAAGGACACATCAAGAAGGATTGCGACAAGTTGCATGGTAAAGGCAATTTATCTGCAAATCATGGGAGGCAATCTGATCATTCGGACGAGACTAATATTGCCGAGAGATTTTTGGATGGAGATGTGGTACTGACCGTATCTGACATGGAATCTAAGTCGGATGAGGAGTGGATTTTGGATTCAGTGTGTTCGTTCCATATGTGTCCCAATAGGGTTTGGTTTGAAACATATGAAATGGTGAAGCAAGGTAGAGTTGTTATAGGAAATAACCAATCTTGTAGGGTTGCTGGAATTGGTCGGGTCAGATTGAGGTTATTAGATGGGACAGTTCTAGTTCTTGGCCAGGTTCGGTATGTTCCAGACTTAAGGAATAATTTCATCTCGTTAAGTACCCTGGATTCTAATGGGTACACATTCTCCTATAGAGGTAGAGTCTTGAAGGTCCAAACGGGTCACTGTGTTGTGTTGGAATGACAGAAGAGTTCTCAACTGTATATCCCGTAGTGGCGCGCAGAACTAGTGAAGAGACATTTGGACATGTTTAGTACCGTAGAAGAGATCCAGTTCGGTACAGTACCTTTTGTGTTAGGCTCCGAGTCATTTGTTAGGAGAGGACTCATGGAGCATAGGTACCAGGTTTCAAATGTGTGATCATGCCATGGGGTGTTTGAAGGTGACAGTTCTAGCAAGAGGCCTTCAGTTCAAGCATTTGGTATTGATTCTGCTACAGAGTATGCTTTGACCCTGTTTAGTATTTGTTGAATTCGTTATTGAAATTTTGGGAATTCGGGATTGGGTTCGGGTGTCGCTTATGGACACTAGGCAGAGGTATTTTTTTCGTGAGGTGGTAGTCGGACTTATTTTTTCAGATGGAGAAATTTTGGAGTTTCGTTTGTTGCACTGGAATTTGTGTCAATGTGGAGATTGTTGGATTTTATGACCTAAATTAGGTTAGAATTTTTGGGAATATATTTTTTTTCTTTGCACGTATTTGGAAAAATATTATTTCCTTTATTTCACATGTTTTTTTTGGAAAATATAAGGAAAATATTGTTTCATTTATTTCACGTGATTTATTTTTATCTTGGTTCCATCTTGGGTTGGACATCTTCCCTATAAATAGTAGACTTTTAATTCAGTTTTTGTGAGCAGAAATTGCTGAAATTGTATTCACTCCATTGGTTGTTTAGTACAATATCGGTTTCTCTGCCTTTTTTCTTTTCTTTACTTTAAATCTTGTTCTTGTTTGATGAGTGATCAATACTTCATATTACTCCATTAATCTCTTTCGATTTTTCACAACACGTGAATTCAAAGGGTCCCAATACAGTGGAAATTGGGTATTGAGAACTTATACAAAACAAGACTATTTGGGAGCATTTGTGATCCAAATTATCAGATAAAGAAACCATGAATTGGATTGAGATGTCACATATGTTGAAGACTTTAATTCTTTCCCACCTAGGTCATCTTTTTAGTTTTTCCCTTTTTCACATTCTTACGGATATTATCTATGTCGTGTAAACGAGTAAGTACCATATATAAAATTTTGACCAAAAAGTTTATTTCATCCCAAATTTATATTTTCAGAAAATAGTGCTTTGACGTCAAACTTGAATTTAAAATTTTCAAAATGGCACGTCGAACCGCTTTATCAAGAAGGAAAATATATTAAAATAAATTGATATATTTAATAAAACCTTAAAGTTCATGTGACGTGAGACATGTCACAACATGACAAGCAATCTAATCCACAGTGCTTGGGGTTAATTAAATTTAAAAGAAAAAAATACTTAAATTCCACCTTATGTTAATTAGTTATTCTTAATCAATCCTAAAGCAAAGGCTTTACATAACTGAAGAAGGCTGAGAATCTTATTGCTTTGGGTTTTATTCATTAAGATAGAAAATGGATGTCATCAACAGTTCCGACAGTCACACTTAAGTCATACATTAGGTTGTGCTAAATTATTTTTTTTTTCTCTTTCTTCAAGTACACTTTCCTTTTATTTCTTTAAACAAAAATGTTTTATATTGCGCACGTTTAAAACAAAAACATATGCATCATCTATTTGTGTTTGTACATAATACATATATTTATCGAGTACACGTTGACCTCGAAATCCGATTAAAAGATCTTAACTCCTCTTCCGTCCATGTGCATGTTACTTGCATGTTTGAGCGCCACGTTAGACTGCTCGTGACCATACCTCCAGTGAGGTGTGACTATCGTGGGAACTCAGACAATCAATTCAAATAGTGAAGAAAATATTTGGATGTGAGAGAATGGATGAGAATATGAGTGTTGGGTTCGAGATTACTAAATTGCAATACAAGAATGTCATTATATTAGAAATACACATAATATGAACTTTTATACAAGGAGAGAAGATGTGACGTCCATTAGATACAGACATGGGGTCTCATCTAATGACTCACTAGTCAAACTCAAATGTGTCAATCCTAACTGTCATATGTTTGTGTTTGTCTGACTGTAGGCAATATGCATGCAGATTGAAAAGTTGAATGAGTATATACGTCATAAGACAGTTAAATCTGTTGGCGTACATGTTATCTTTAGCTAAGATAATGTCTATAGAAGATGAAGATGCCAATCGCTTCAAAAATACACCGCAACAGGAGGTGAGGTCTCGCCTCGAGAGAAGTAATTGCTTCATACGAAGCGTCCAAGGGCTTTGTCCAATCGACTATAAGGGCACGTGTAAAGGTGTGAGGTGAGGTGAGGCGAAGTGAAGTGTGAATCTTGTATGACCTATTGTTTTTTGCTTAGATAGCTACCACGTGACATGTCCATGATATTACTCTTATGAAAGTCTCTTTTAACTGAAAATGAAAATTAAAAAGAGA